CTTTTTTAGCATGTAAGGAGAGGATCATGTGGTTTTTCTTCTTCACTTTGTTTATATGGTGGGTTACATTGATGGATTTCCTTATATTGAACCACCCCTGCATGCCTGGGATGAAGCCTACTTGTTCATGGTGGATGATATCTTTTATGTCTTCTTGGATTTGGTTTGTAAATATTTTATTATTTTTGCATCAATGTTCATAGGAGAGATAAGTCTGAAGTTCTCTTTTGGGGGGGGTCTTTGTGTTGTTTTGGTATCAAGGTGACTATGGCTTCATAGAATGAGTTTGGTAATGTTCCTTCTGTTTCTATTTTGTGGAATAGTTTGAAGAAAATTGGAGTTAGCTCTTCTTTGATGGTCTGTTAGAAATTCTGCACTGAAACCATCTGGCCCTGGGCCTTTTTTTTTTTTTTTTTTTTTTTTTTGGAAGGGAGACTGTTGATGACTGCTTCTATTTCCTTGGGGGATATAGGACTACTCAATCTTACCTGATCTTGATTTAATTTTGATAAATGGAATCTATCAAGAAAATTAAATTGTCCATTTCACTTAGATTTTCAATTTTTGTGGCATATAGGCATTTGTGGTAAGACCTAATGATTGTTTGGATTTCCTCAGTGTCTGTTGTCATGTCCCCCTTTTCATTTCTGATTTTGCTGATTTGGATAGTTTCTCTCTGCCTTTTAGTTAGTTTGGCTAAGGGTTTGTCTATCTTGTTGATTTTCTCAAAGAACCAGCTCTTGGTTTCATTGATTCTTTGAATAGTTTTATTTGATTCTAATTTATTGATTTCAACCCTAAGTTTGATTATTTCCAGCCATCTACCCCTCTTGGGTGTGTCTGCTTCTTTTTTTTCTAGGGCTTTCATGTGGGCCATTAAGTTGCTTGTATGAGATGTTTCAAATTTCTTCTTGAAGGCACTTAGTGCTATGAACTTTCCCCTTGGCACTGCTTTCGTTGTGTCCCATAAGTCTGAGTATGTTGTGCCTTCATTTTCATTGAATTGTAGGAAATCTTTAATTTCTTTATTTCTCATCTAACCCAGCTGTCATTGAGTAGTGAGTTGTTCAGTTTCCATTAGTGTGTAGGCTTTTTGCTATTTCTGTTGTTGCTGAGGGCCAACTTTAGTCCATGGTGGTCAGATAGAATACAAGGGATTATTTCAATTTTCTAGTATCTGCTGAGGCTTGCTCTATGGTCTGTTTTGGAGAAGGTTCCATGTGGTGCTGAAAAGAAGGTATACTCTTTTGAATTTGGATGAAAAGTTCTGTAGACATCTATTAGGTCCATTTGATTTAGGACCTCTCTGTAAGTGCCTTTATTTCCCTATTTAGCTTCTGTCTAGATGATCTGTCCCTTGATGAGAGTTGAAGTCTCCCACTTAATAAGGTGTTGGGATGGATGTGTGATTTCAACTTTAAAAATGTTTCATTTATTTGGGGCATAGATGTTCAGAATTGTGACGTCCTCCTGGTGGATTTTTCCTTTGATGAGCATGAAGTGCCCCTCCTCATCTTTTTTGATTAATTTTAGTTGAAAGTCTATTTTATTAGATATTAGGATAGCTACCCCAGCTTGTTTTCTGGGTCCATTTGCTCGAAAAACATTTTTTTTCCCAGCCCTTTACTCTGAGGTAGTGTTTATCTTTGTGGCAGAGGTGTGTTTCTTGGATGCAGCAGAATGTTGGATCCTGTTTCTGTAACCATTCTGTTAGTCTGTGTCTTTTTATTGGAGAGTTGAGTCCATTGATGTTGATAAATAATAGTGACCAATGAATGTTAGTTTCTTTTATTGTGGAGTTCGTGGTGTTACTGTGTTTCATTGCTTGTTCTCTTTTGATTTTTTGTTGTGAAGTTATCTATATCCTATATTTTCTGGGGTATAGTGATTTTCATTGGATTGGAGTTTTCCTTCTAGTATCTTCTAGGGCGGGGTTGCTGTTTAAGTTTTTGATATTGTTTAAGTTTAGTTTTGTCATGGAATATGTTGTTTTCTCCATCTATGTTGCTTGAAAGCTTTGCTGGGTATAGTAGTCTGGGATGGCATCTGTGGTCCCTTAAAGTCTTCATGACATCTGCCCAGGCCCTTCTGGCTTTCATAGTTTCTGTTGAGAAGTCTGGTGTGATTCTGATAGGTCTACTTTTATATGTTACTTGGCCTTTTTCGCTTGCTGTTTTTAATAGTTTTTTCTTTGTTCTGTAGATTTAGTGTTTTGACTATTATGTGATGTGAGTAGTTTCTTTTCTGGTCTAGTTTACTTGGTGTTCTGTTGGCCTCTTGTATGTCTATGGACAGCTCTTCCTTTAAGGTGGGAAAATTTTCTTCTATGATTTTTTGAAAATATTTTCTGGACCTTGGAGCCTGGAATCTTCCTTTTCATTCATTCCTATTCTTAGATTTTGTCTTTTCATGGCATCCTTGATTTCTTGGATGTTTTGTGTTTGGAATTTTTCTGATTTTACTTTCTTTGAGAGTATCAATTTCTGCAAGTGTATCTTCAGCATCTGATATTCTTCCATCTTTTGTATTCTATTGGTGATGCTTACTTTCGTGGTTCCTGGTCTTTTCTCTAAGTTCTCCAGCTCCAGGATTTTCTCTGTTTGTGTTTTCTTTATTGATTCTAATTCTGTTTTCATGCCTTGTACCATTTCCTTCATCTGTTTGAATGTGGATTCCTGTCTTTCTATGATGGCTTCTATTTTTTTGTTTGTTTCCTCTCTATATGCCACTCTATTGTGCCTCTATTTGTTTGGCTGTATTTGCCTGTATTTCTTTGAGAGCTTTGTTAGTTCACTCTTTATTTGCCTCCATTTGTGTGGCTATTTCTTTGAGAGCTTTGTTCATTTCCTCTTTATGTGCCTCTAATAACTGGATAAGCATACTTTAAAATCATTTTCCTGTGTTTTCGATGAATTGAAATATCCATTGATTTTGGGGATTGCTGGTGGTCAGGATGTCCTGATTTTTGGGGGGTGTGTTCTTGTGCTGACCTCTGGCCATCTGCTTATCTGTAACCTTCACTGTTTGTTCCTGGAGTCTGTACTTCAGACTGGGTCCATCTCTCTCTGGTGTCTGGAGTATTCTTCAGGAAGATGAGAGAGGCCCACTGGTTTGAGAGTGCGCATTGGTGTTTCTGCTGTAGCTAAGGGAGGAAGATCTGAAGGTGTGGTTGCAGAAGTGCAGGCATGTGTGTGTGTGTGTGTGTGTGTGTGTGTGTGTGTGTGCTCGCACACACAGAAGTGTGACTTGAAGGACAGGGTGCTAGAGAGTGTAGATGCCTGGAATGTGGGGTGGAGGGATGCAGACACAGGAAGGGGTGTGGGTGCTGACACTGTTTGTGGGCCCAATGTGCATGTGCAGATTCCCTGAATACCTCAGTGGCCTACAGGCCTGTCGTACTGTCTTTCTGGTATTTAGATCTGTCTGGGCTCCAAGAGTTGTTTGCCTAGACTTCACAGGTAGACCAGCAGAACAGGGGCTTCGATGTTGAGAACCATGTCCCAAGGATCCCTCTGTTGCCCACAGTGGGGCTGTGGGTAGGAGGAATCCGATGTCTGGCTGCTAGCATAGAGGGACCCTGAATCTGGGGCTCTGCACACACTCACTTGAAGGCACGCTCCCTCTCTAGCAGGTCTAATCAGCAAGCACAGGGGTTCCCCCTGTTCTCTACTCTCAGATTTGGGCCTGCCAGGGTAAATGTGAGTGTAGGCGATCCTTCAGCTCAGTGGTGCTGCAGCCACAGAACTTGGAGGCTGGTATAGCAGTCCACTGGGAGTCTAGCCACAGCTGCAGAACTGGGAGGCCTGTTCAGATACCTTCTGGAAGGCCCTGGGGAGCCGAGGACCTGGGTGGCCTGGTAGACCTGGGTGGCCCATCCAGCCAACCAGCTGCCCTTCTCTGTCTCAGATACTGAGCAGGGAGTTCTGTGCTAGGAGCCAAAAGGGAGCACTGAACGCCACCTCTGCAGGGGGGAGGGAGGCCTGTCAAGGGGAAGGGCTGGGGGATTGAGTATTTGTCACTCTCAGTCCCTGGAGAAGCCCGCGGGTGACCTGAATCCAAATGGTCTCAACTCACATGTTGTCCCCTCTTTCCCAGGAAGCATCAATGTCGATGTTCTGGCTTCAGCTGCCCCTCCACTCACCAATTTCAGAGTTTCAGATCCTCTGCCTCTCAGATACGGTGCACACTGGTCGCTGCCATCTTGGATCCCCGCCTTTTATTTTAATTATATGCATAAGTGTGTATCCATGTGTATCCAGAAGAGGGCATTGGATCTCATAATACAGGTAGTTGCAAACTGGCCAATATGGGTGCTGAGACTCAAACTTAGGTCCTCTGTAAGAGCAATAATAACTGCTGAGCCATCTCTCTGGCCTTCCCAAAAGGCCTTTGTATTTATTTTTGGTGTTGTGCTTGCATTTATGTCTGTCTGTATGAGGGTGTTGGATCCACCGGAACTGGAATAACAGACAATTTGTGAGCTGTTACGTGGGTACTGGGAAATGAACCCAGAACCTTCAGAAGAGTGGCCAGTGCTCTTAACTGCTGAGTCATCTCTCCAGCACCTAGTATCCATTTCTGAAACCACAGATTCAGCGAAACCCTGGAAGTGGAGGGTATGCTTTATCATCTGACCTTATTCCTTCCAGTCTTTGCTCTCTGCTAATAGGGCTGCATCCCTGCTCCTCAGAAACATAATACAGCCTTTTTGCTTCTACCACGTTAGCTTTACAGCCACATTGGATGGCTGGTTTTCTAGTTGCTTGGGTTTTGCCTCAGAGCCATTTATTCTATTTATGTGTTTAGCTCTAGGTGTGTGGTAGCTGTGGAAGATCTGAAACGGTGCATTCACTCAGTGCATTTATCCCTGGGGCCATGATCACCTGGGAGCAACACAGAAGGCTGGACCCATGCGAACCCTCTCGGGAAGAGTTGTCTCACATTGTTGCATCAGCCGCTCCTGAAGAGCTAACCATGGATTTGTTTTGCTTTCTGTCTAGACTTGCGTTTGCTCGAACAGATTCCTGGTACAGCGGGGTATCCATGATTCCTTTGTGAAGAAGTTTGCAGAAGCGATGAAGAAAAGCCTGCGTGTGGGTAATGGATTCGAGGAGGGGACAACTCAAGGGCCGTTAATTAATGAGAAAGCGGTAGAAAAGGTGAGTTGGTCTTATAGTTGGCCTTAAGGAAATTTTGTGATGGCGGGCTCAAAGGCTTGGTTAAATAAATGAATTTTTGTAAGCTCCCTAGCAGGGCTGTTTCACAAACAATGGGAAAATGCAAACTAGTTTAAAAAAAAAAAAAGTGTATTCCTACCAATGTGTATGTGCTTCCTAGCTCTACCTGAGGACTTGAGACTGGGGTCTTCAGGTCTTCTGCCTCCCTACATTTCTGTTTCTAGTGGTGATAGCTTTTCCCCTTGCTGTCCTTCCAGAAGAATTCTAACTGCAAGTACCCAGAAAATGCACATAGAGGTACAGGAGTACTGCAGGTTAGGGATGGCCAAGGGAAGCTACTTTTAGGAATGAATTGTTTGTTGACATCACAGTCTGGGGAGCTGGCAGGATGCGATTTCTCTTTGACACACTGTTGTCTTTAGCCTCATTTTTTTCTTATGTTTATTTACTTAGTGTGTCTGAGTGTGAGTATGGGGGAGGAGGGCACACGTGTGCCACAGCACAGGTATAGAGACCGAAGAACAACGTGTTAGAGTCCTTCTCCCCCCCACCAGGTAGGTCCCAGGGACAGAACTCAGGTTCTCAGGATTGGCAGTAAGCACATCGTCCTACTGGCCCATTTCAATAGCCCTGGTTTTAGCTTGATTCAGTTTGTTTTTTCATTAAAATTAAGGGTGTCATCTTGGCGTTTTCATACATATATATCATTATACTTTGTTCTTAGCCTCTCCTTAACTCCCCTCCTTGATGTTTCCTGTACAGCTAGGGAGACAGAGGCAAGCAGATCTCTGTGAGTTCAAGGCCAGGCTGGTCTAAAAATCGAGTCCAGGACAGCCACGGCTACACAAAGAAACCATGTCTCAAAACCAACCAACCAACCAAACAAACAAACAAACACAATGGTTTTTCCAGAGCTGCTTCTCTCCCTCCAACCATGTAGGTCCCAGGAATTGAATCTTGATTGCCAGGCTTGTATGCTGAGCCACTTTGCCGGCCTATTTTCTAAGGAAAGAGAGAAGCAACTACGTTTTTCCTGTTTAACGTTTTAAGAGGTTGTGCAGTTTGGAGAATGTCCTCATCCGGCTTTCTCCGGTGCCCTTCTTCTCATCTCACAGGTGGAGAAGCATGTGAATGACGCAGTCGCCAAAGGAGCCACGGTTGTGATGGGCGGGAAGCGACACCAAAGTGGAGGAAATTTCTTTGAGCCCACCCTGCTCAGCAATGTCAGCGTGGACATGCTGTGCATCACGGAGGAGACCTTTGGCCCCCTGGCTCCAGTTGTCAAGTACGTTCTACCAGTCGTGGAAGGAAGGAGATTAGAAAGGGAACACTTATTGAAGAGAGGTTCCTGTGCTCTTTCAAAGGCTGGTGGGCGGGCTGAGCGTCTGTGGTCAGAGTTGCACCGCACTGGCTGAACAGCAACGTTGGGTTGATGATATTTTGGGTTTGATCTGAGGGTTTGGATATTCAGATATCCATATGTGGGTCAGCCCTGGGTGTTGCTGCTTGACAGCTGTCCACCTTAGATTTTGAGACGGGGTCTCTCGCTGGAACCTGGGGCTCCACAGTTAGAGTGGGCAGGTTAGCTAGCAATTCCAGGCATCTTTGTGTGCCTGTGTCCCCAGACCTGGGATCATAAGCACAGGTCACCTCAACTGGGTTTTGAAATGGGTTCTGGGGGTGGAACTCGGCACTTTCACCAATAGAGCCAGATCTCTCCCTAGTCCTGGCCCCAGGTGTGGTGTTTGTATTGAGTCTTTGTTGGGGTGGGGGTGTTGTTATTGTTGTTTGGGGGTTTTGGTGGGTGTTTGTCTGTTTGAGATAAGGCCTCCTTCTGTAACCCAGGCTGGCCTTGGGTCCTCAACCTTCTTGCTTTAGCCTCCCTGTAGTCATATACCATACCCAATTTCAAGCACAAAATTCATCCAACTTTTATTTAGTTTCTTGCTGCCTTTAAGCTTACTTCCCTCCCACCCCCAATTCCTAAGGCTATTTTCCTAATACCCTCGAGGGCTCTATCCCAGCAGTCTGTAGGAAATGAATTATGACCTCACCTTTTATCCCACCTTAACAAGTAAATAACCGTTTCCCTGGATAATTCTCAGGTCAGTGCTCTGAAAATATTCTTTTATCTACTTGGATCCAGAGCCTAGAAGGGCTCAGAAGAGGGTATCCGATCTGCTGGGACTGGAGTGAACAGCTGTGAGCCACCATGTGGGTGCTAGGAATTGAACCCAGGTCCTCTGCGAGAGCAACAAGTGCTCTTAACCAATGACCCAACACTCTAGCACCTAGGAGTCCCTTTCTTCAAGGATTGTGTTTGGCAGCGTCTCTGCCTCATTGGTCTGCTTTTCCTTTCTCTTAGAAAAGGCGGGCCACATGGATCTACGGTCTCTTTAGAAGTCTGCATTTATACTCCACTCATGCATTCTCCCCTTGGAGCCCTTTGCAGCTCTGATCTCCTTCTTGTCATTCTTTAGGAAATGAGTCGGGAGAAAATGGAGCTGGTTTTCTTTGTTCTTCACCTTACACCTGTTTGCTTATCACCTACTTTAACTCTGGCAGGTTTGATAAAGAAGAAGAGGCCGTTGCCATTGCAAATGCAGCTGATGTTGGATTGGCAGGTAGGCGGTGTCTGTCGTCACCTCAAGTAAATGCCAGGCTCTGCCTTTTGAGCATGACTCTTGGGATCTTGTTTGTTTTCTTTTGGTTTGGAGACAACATCTCACTAAGTAACCCCAGGTTGCCTGAAACTTTCTATCTAGACCAAACTGGCCTTGAACTCACTGAGAGCTACCAGCATGCACCACCTTGCCTAGCAAACTGTTGAGTTTTTAAGATGCAGACTTAAACAGTGTGTATGGTTTGTTTCTTTACAAATGGCAAGAGTGACCTTGTGCAAAGCATTCCTTTCTCCTGTGTCCCCTGACACACACATAGAGCTTTCCAACTAAAGCTGAGAGTAGGAGACAAGGGGGCCGGGATGCAGATTGTTCTAGGTGGGAGTCACATGCAATCTCCCAGCTACTAAGCATAATGGTCAGTACTTTTTTGTCCCATTTGCCTGGTTTCCTGAAGAATCCCCAGACAGTGAGAGATGAGAAGGTGTGTATGTGAGGGGAAGGGGCTGTGGGTGTGCACCCTAATGCTCGTGAGTTGGTCTAGATCACTAGGTGGCTGCTGTTCTTGCAGTTTGGAGATAATACTGAGAAAACATACATATCGGCCCTGGGTGTAAATGCAGAACTGTGGGATACAGAGGTATAATATATAACTTCTCAGCCTTTTGGCTAATATCAAGTGTAGGGACCCACATAAGATACAGTTCTTCACAAAGAAACCCTGTCTCAAAAACCAGAAGAAAAAAAGATACAGCTGTAGCACTCTCAAGACTGCCTTGTGGATATAATGCAACCTGCTTATAAAAAGAGGAAGGTAAGTATGCTGTGGAGTTGAGTATGTGATGTCACATACTCAGCTGTCACAATGCTGGAGCAACTTGTGGCCCAAGGCTTCTCAAGTTCAAGATCAATGCTTATTCCTTCATTTTTCAGTGGTGCGATATGGAGGAGGCCATGCCATGCCTTAGGTCCTAAGTGATAAGATGCTCACTACAGAGATTGAAGTGTAGGCAGAGAGGACCAAGCAAGTTCAGATGCAGCATGGTAAAGATGAGATGAGCCTGACAGTGGCTCTCAAGTGCAGTCAGAAGCAAGCTGAAAATGCTAACCGAAGCCACACTTAGGGGCAGGGTTGATTGGCCACTGAGAAAATTGGCCTTGTTCTATAGACTGCAAGGCTTGCACAAACCTGTTGTCCAGATATCTAAAGGAGGATGGTTGCAAGAGCAGAAAAGCACAAAAGCTCATGGTTACAACGTCCCGATGGGAGAGAAACAGAAGCCCAACCAACAGGATGCCCAAGGTCCTTAGGGGGAAAACCTAGACAAACCCAGCCTGAGGCTTTACCTGCAAGGAGGAGAACCGCAGGCCATGTGACCTGGCATCCTCAGAGGCAGGCACATGCAACTGTCCCGAGAGTTCCTCATGCTGTGTTCGTCCTTCTTGTTCCTCTGCTTAGGTTACTTTTATTCTCAAGACCCAGCCCAGATCTGGAGAGTGGCGGAGCAGCTGGAGGTGGGCATGGTCGGCGTGAATGAAGGACTGATCTCTTCAGTGGAGTGTCCTTTTGGTGGGGTGAAGCAGTCTGGCCTTGGGCGAGAAGGGTCCAAGTATGGCATTGATGAGTATCTAGAGATCAAGTATGTGTGTTATGGAGGCTTGTAGCAGGGTTTTCCACTTCTTTAAGAAATAAAACTACCTAGATCTCTAGGGACATGACATGCATTTTTTAAAAAATGGACAAGTAGGTTATCAGAATTATGAATTTTTTAAAAAAAATTCAGCCAGTCATCATTTTAGATGTGAATCCTAACCCTTTCCTTATCTAACTAGGGACCAATGAATGCCATATACCTGTGGTTGTGGGCCCCAGCCAGGACTGGGACCTCAGCACAACCCCACTGCCTCAGGACAAGGTACAGTGTGAGGGTGCACGTGGGCACTGGGTCCCCAGGCCGAATGGGACCGCCCAACTTGGACCCAGATTTCAGGAAAGGAAACACTGGGGGGATGAAACAGCTGGATAAGCAGAAAGGGCACATCCCTGCCTCTTCGGCATCTCTCAGCTTGATGATGAACCGCTGCCTGTTGTGGGGAGGGGCTGAGGAGGGTGGCAAAGGCTTTGGTTTCCCAAGACTTCTTTCTAAGCCACACAGCATTGCCTGTGCTATGTGGAATGAGGGGAATGTTTCTCCTTGTTTCTAGGCTACTTTTTAAATTGTTGGGGACAGGGTTTGGTTTTGTTTCATCTTGGTTTGGTTTAGCATTGTGAGACAGTGTCTTGCTAAGTAGGTCGCCAAGGCTGGCTTCAGACTGAGTTCTCCTGTTTCAGCCTCCGAAATTCTGGGGTTACAGGTGTGTTCCACCACAGCTGGGTAAATGGACGTCTCCACTGCCCTAAACTCACCGCGCATGCTTCATTTTGTTTCTCTTCGAAAAATCAACCCAAGCTGGGGACAAAATCTGCAGAGTCGGTTTGGCAGAGCAGAAAGCATGGCTTGTATTTCTTTCTGCTGGGTGTTGAACCCATGGCCTGTGCATACTAGCCTGTGTTCTATCACTGAACTGTCCCAGACTTTTTTATTTTATTTCTTTTAATTTAATTCTTGAGACAGAGTCTTGGTAAGTTACCCTAGCTGGCCTTGAGCGTTTTATTGTCTTGCCTCAGTATGCTAAATGGAAGGCATGACTCTCAGCTGCTTAAAGGACCTTGTGAGCTTCATAAAATGAAGAAACTACAGCTTAAGTACAGGGACCATTTTGATTATGAGCAGTCGCACCCTGCCCCACCCTGAGCTTGGAAGGTGGCTTTGTGGAGGAAAGCAGGTACCTACCGTTCACCTGCCTAAGTTTGAACCAGGTTTTCTGTTCCTGGGTGTGGCTGCTGCTAAGCTTCCAGAAGAGCAAATACACTTTCACCACTGTGAAAAAATATTTCCACACTTGCCAGTTCCCTGTGGAAGAGAGCTGAAGCCATGAATCTCAGGCACCTTTGCCCCCAGTAAAAGCATATATGGTTCATGATTCAAAACCAAAACAAAGCAAAACAAAAAAGCCACATAGGGACCTGCAAAATAGCTTAGTGGATAAAGGCTTTGCCAGACAAGCCTGGTAACCTGAGACCTGAGTTCCACCCCTGGAGCTTACATAAAGAGGGGAAGAGAGGGCCTGGAGAGATGGCTCAGAGATTAAAAGCACTGGCTGTTGTTCCAAAGGTCCTGGGTTCAATTCCCAGCTACCACGTGGTAGCTTAAAACCATCTATAATGAGTCTGATGTCCTCTTCTGGCGTGCAGGCATAGATGCAGGTAGAATACTGTATACATAATAACTCATTAAAAAAAAAAGAAAAAAGATGGGAAGAGAGAACCAACCCCACAAAATTTTCCTCTGACCTCCACAGTGCATGAGAGGCATTCTCTCTCTCTCTCTCCTCTCTCTCTCTCTCTCTCTCTCTCTCTCTCTTTCTCTCCAACTGGTCTTACTTTGAAACAATTTAAATGAGGAAAATTCTAGGTTCTTGGAGACATGCCTCCCATCTACCTAGAAGTTGGCACCGCGCTCCATGCTCTTGTCTGTGAAGAGAGCCCGCACGCATACTCTGTGGGTGCTCTGCCTGTGAGAAGTCAACACTGATAGGACTAGTTCCAGTGCTTCCTAAACATTACTCTAGCCACTGGGAGCTTCCAATAAGGAATTCATGGTTTTTAACATCCCGAGCACAAGAAGCGAGCCTCCTACACAACTCAGCACATTCATGGTCTGTTTGCAGCTGGTTTCTAACAAATTTTCTAATTAAACTTAATTTTTTTATGAATGTGGGTGTTTTGCCTACATATATGTCTGTGCACCACATGCATGCTGGTGCCCTCAGAGGCCAGAAGAGGGCATCAGAACACCTAGAACTGGGGAAAGTTGGCCGCCTCTGTCTGGATGTGCTGGTAGGTGAACCCTGGCCCTCTGGAGGTGAGCAGACACTGCTCTTAACTGCCGAGCCATCTTGCCAGCCCCAACATTTCTAATTCCTCGATATTTGTGCCCATCTTTTTTTCAATGAAGAATACAAATGCCCTGCTGTTATTTTGTAGAAGATATACATAATACTGAGATATGAAGTCATTTCAAATACGCTTTAAACAGGGTGAGCCAGTGGGTGCCTGGACGTTGTGGCAAATTTGTACTTGTTGTGTGTGCATATTTGACCCACTGGGTATATCACTGGCCCAGACATTTGTTACAATAAATATAATCAATTTTTGTGTTTAAAATGATGGGAGTGGATATCAGTGGTCAAGTGTATACTTAGCTGCTGGAGGCTATGTGACTAATCATCCCCAAAAAGAAATTAACATGGAAGAACATCTTACTTAGAAAAATGGTTTTGGGTTATAGGGAGACAATGAGTTTGGGTTTTGATATTATTTAAAAACAGGCTCTCCTGTTGGCCTTAAATTCCTGGGCTCAAATGGCCCCCCTGACTTAGTTTCCCAAATAGCTGTGACTGGAGGCATCTTGTCACCAAATCAGCTAAGAGTAGTTTATCCTTCATTTAGGGGTTTTTGAGTTTGGGTCTCATGTAGTCCAGGTTCACCTTGGAACTCTCCTGCCCCGACTTCCTGTGCTGGAATTAAACATGTATACTACCATTCCCAGCCGAGCAGTGTTAGGTGAACCTTTGTTATTGTTCCATAAGATGTGTGATTGGTGGAATTTTCGAAGATGTCTATACAGACATGTAAGGACAAGGGCTGAAGAAACACATGTGAGCCAAATCTGACCTGCTGCCTGTTTATTAACTCATGTGCTTAAAATAGTTAGCTGGGCAGTGGTGGTACACACCTTTGATCCCAACACTTGGGAGGCAGAGGCCAGCTTGGTCTACAGAGCAAGTTGGGGAGGGAGACAGTGGTCTCCCATGTTATAAGGCACCATTTCATTCTATTAAACCCCTGTGAAAAGGCACATTTTATAGGCATTTGTTACAAGGAGTTCTTGGCTGTAATTATCAAATAACAGCCTGATAATCCTGTCTCCTTGAAAAGCACTTTTCCCCAGGTGGTGGGGCTCACTGGAAGTGCCAAAGCTCATCCGTCCATCGGAGGGGCCTTTAAACATACCCCCCCCCATTACAAGTGCTTGTTACCTCTTTCTGCAACTTGGTTCTTCAGGACTCCGTGAGAGTAAAGATCAGACACACAATGTAAACAAGCCTGTTTTGTGATGCTTTGACCTTCAAATTGGGTCCCATGGGTTTTCCTCTCTGAAGGCTGGATCCCAGTGTTTTAATTACCCATGTGCAGCTATTTAAAAAAACAGGATTTTACTTGAATACTGTGATTGTTTCGTGGCATACTAAGAGTTGGTGAGAAATATTTTGTTCTGTAAACATGTATATGTCGATTCATTTTTCTACTGTTTGACATTGGTCAACAGAGTTGAATCTCCTTAATAAATGTAGAATTGAACACGATTTCTGGTTAGAGTTTGTGGCTGTGTTGTTTTTGCCTACTTTGTTGCCATTTGAGTTTTAACTGGATGGTCTTAGACCAACATGGATGCAAAATTGACCTGCCCCAGGTCAGCGCATACCTTGAGCCGAGAGCTAGTACACCCAGTGTTTGAGCTCTCTGTGTTTGCTTGTGTGGGCCGTGCTGCTGTCTTCTAATGCACTCCACTGTCGGCCACTTTTTCCAGTCTTTTATTTTACAGAGAAGTATGAGAAAGGCATTTTCTGAGTCCCCGGTATCCAGATATGATCCTCGGATATGAATTTTAACACTTGTCTGAGTGCAATTTCTGTTGCTAATAACACAATACCACCACAGCTTGGGCAAGTTATTGTTTTGGCTAGTGGCTCTGGTACACGGTCAAGGGGTCCTTAGGCAGTGTAGGGCTAACAGTCTTAAGACCTAACCAAACTGGCCTTTACAGCAGACCCGATACTAAGACACTGAATTAATCCATTGAATTCGTGGGTGGTTGCATCCGTGAAGGCAAAGCCCTAGTCAGCTCTCCGAAGGTCCGATTTGACCCCATCTCCCAGGCCTAGAGATAGCCCTCTCCGTGTTACCCCACTGGGCCCATGTGCCCCTGGGAACCCTCTGTGGAGACTAGTCACCTTATGACATCAGTAAAACTGGATTAGGACCCACCATATCGGCTCCATTTTGAGCCACTCTTACAGGGCTCATCTCTTTCTATACATTCTAGAATTTGGCGGGTCAGGAGTTCAACGTATACTTGGTCACAGGGTCCCTGTGGCCGGGCAACCGTCTCCCCTCAAGTTGGGACTTGGAATGTCAACATGAGCTTTCCTTCCCCACCCCCCAACGCCCAGTGAGTCCATTTAAGGAGCAACAGCAGTGGGAACTCCAGGCAGAGCCTTGACCAGCGTTAAGCAGAGACCAGGACAAGGGCGAGCTCCCAGGCCTCAAGGCTCAGAGTTCCCCTCGGGTCCCCGCTGGACATGGAGGCAGGAGGATGGTACTGCTTCACAAGTCATCAAGACAGAAAGGGTTGGCTGTGGGCTTCGCGCACCCCCTCAATATCGGGCCGGCAGCCTTAGTTCATAGAGTGAGCTTCCCCGCAGAGTGCGCAGGGAACCGCCCCTGAGTGGCAACTCGCAGAGGCACAGACACCCACCATGCCCAGCTTTGAGGATACTACGCGCACCTAGTAGGGCTTTCTCTCCAGGACGCCACAACAGAGAGGACCCTGGGTGAACCCCAAGGCTGCTCAGAGGGCCTCCTCCGACCCCTGGCTTGCCGATGAGTTCAGGGAGATTGAGTTGATCAGGGTGACGTTCATCCGAAGGACGGAGGCCAAGCCAAATCCCAAGGAACCGGAGAGCAGCCAGACACTGCCAAGTCCATACCAGGGGCAGTTTCTTTCACAGGCCGGGTGGTCTACCGATCTCTGCTCCCCGGGGAGTCACTTCAGCCACGGGAAAGCAGAACACAGGAGAGCTGGAAGCCTCTTCCTCTAAGAAAAAACGAAGTGTGTTCTGGGGCAAGGGAGGAAGCCGACCTAGAGAAGGAAAAAAGGGGGGGGGGGGGGGGAGGGGGGAGAGGGCGGGGCGGGCAGACACAGACATAGTTATAAACCTTTGCGAAACGTTTTCAAACGTATTTTCGTTTTCATAAGGAAAAAATGTGTTCAGCAGCTTTCTGTCGCTGGTACAGTACCTGATAAGCTTACAAGAAGGAAGGGTCTGTCTGACTCACCGGTCTACACGGCTGCTGTGAGCCCTTAGCTCTGGGACCGTGGCCAGACTGAGCATCAACCGCGCAGGGCAGAGGAAAACGGTTCCCAAGGCGGGTGGAGGAGCAGAGCGAGGGGGTCGCGCACCCAGTGAGGTCACTTCCTTCCACCCGGGCCCCACCTCCTAAACCAGTGCCTTCCAGCAGTTGTAGGGTCTGGAGAGTCAAGCCCTCCCACGCGTTAGCCTTCCAGGGACGTTTTAGATCCAAACAGCGGCCGAAGGTCGTTATTGTTGAAACGATAACATATTTGGTTCATTTACGTTCTGGAAACCCAACAAAATACAGAACCCTTGCAAGACAGTGATGATCAAGGAGACTTTAGTTCGTATGCCTAACAAGTAGCGGTCTGGGTCTCAGAACGGGACCTCCAGGATTTACCCCAACGAAACTGCTAATAGATTGACGTAAACACATTGGAGACAACCTCCAGGTGAAGGAGGTCCAAAATGAATACACGCAGCATGATTCCACAAAACTAGAAAATGACGGCTGGTGGTGAGGTTCACTGACCGGTGTGCCTACTGAGAGCTGCACAGCATCTTTTGGGGTGGCATACCTATTAGCTTGGTTACAGAGGTGGCTCCAGGGCGTAGCCATGTATCAAAATCTGTCAAATTAGGCGTTGTGTACACAGTTTATTCTAAGTGAATCATATCTCAGTATACGTTTTTCTTAGTGACCCCCCCCCACCCCCCAGTGCTGTGAAATAAATTTAGGGTCTCACACACGCTCGGTGAGCACTCTGAGCTATGCTAAATTGGCTTCATTTTTTGATAAATACTAAATCAAGGCTGTGCGTGGTGGCACAGGCCTTTAATCCCAGCACTTGGGACAATGATCTCTATAAACTGCAGACCAGCCAGGACTACGCTGTCTCAAAAAAACAAACAAAACCGCTAAATCTGGGAATGTACTTAAGGAACAGCGGCCCGAATACACTCACGTCACAGCTGCTACAAGCCTTTTCCAGCAGGGGACCAAATGTCCTTTCATTCTGAGAGAGAAACCTGCTGAGCTGAGAACAGTCAAGTCCAGCTACTTGTCTGGCATCAGGGAGGATCCTTTGGTCCTCTGGGCTTCAGAAATTGTGTTTGTTTTTCCAGCACAGGTCCAGATAATAAGAGTTTTAGTCTTCATTTGTTTTGTTTTACTTGTGTGTGTGTCGTTTGGTTTGGTTTGGTTTGAGACAGGCTCTTTCTATGTAGCCTGGCTGTCCTGGAATTTATTATGTAAACCAGGTTGGCCCTGAACTCAAGGAGCTCTGCCTGCCTCCGCCTCCTCAGTGCTGCGATCAAAGGAGTGTACCACTATACCTGGCTGTTTTAGTCTTTGAAATGATTCCGATTACTTTGCAAGATTAGAGCAGCCATGGGCGCATTCACACATTCATAAATGAATGAATGAACATGATCATGGCCCAAACAACTACTTACAGATACAAATTTGAGCTTCATATAAGGCTTGTGATCAAAACATTTTTTTCCCCGCCATCTGAAACATAAAACCCAGGGCTGGAGATATAACTCAGTGTTAGAGTCCTTGCCTAGCATGCACCAGGCAGACTCCTGGCTTCTATCCCCAATATTGAGGAAAAAATAAAAATAAAAAAGATAACAGTAAAAACATAAAAACTCATCCTTTTTTTAGCACGTGCAGCATAAGAAAACTCGTGACAGTTTTCTAACCTATCTCTGGGAACTCTCTACACGGAAGCTTGAGGACATTATATTTCTCCTTCAATGTAAATACTAGAGAAAATGCAAAGACTTTTCTTTGGAGGATCAGCATAGGCGTTTAATAGTGTTACATGAGAATCGACATCTGGTTGAAACACGTGGGAAACAATACACTGAAAAGAATAAAATCAAGATTCAGAATCTATGATAGCTTGCTCACGTGTGTGTGTGTGTGTGCACGCACTTGTATATTCATGTGTGAACACAAGGGCGAACATTACATACACTGCCAAATATTGTGTGTGGAGGACAGAGGTTCTTGTGTGGGGCAGCGGTTCTCTCCTTCTACCAAGAGGGTCCTGGGGAGCAAACTCAGGATTTCAGGCCTGGCTGCAGGTGTCTTTACCCACTGAGCTATGCTACCATTTTCTTACTTCACTGGATGTATGTTTGCTTGCTTGAAACAGGTCTGTGCTAGAATCGCAAGTGATGGCTGCCCGTCGCTGTCTGTCCTTAGGGTGTTTTAAACAGGTGGGGAACGCTGGCCTTTGCCAAATCTTTGTCTAAAGCAGTAACTAGTTGAGCTCTTAGCCTTTAGGAGCTCTATAAATGCTCTATCCCATACTTTACAGCAGTTCCTCAATCTGTGACTACCACAGGAGTGGCAAATCAGATATTTGCATTACAATTCATAACAGTAGCAAAATTACAGTTTGAAGAAGCAATGGAATCATTTTATGGTTGGGGGTCACCACAACATGAGGAACTGTGTTAAAGGGCCACAGCATTAGGAAGGTTGAGAACCACTGCGCTGGAGGCTTGTTTCTCTGAGTCTTCGGGTCCCAGGTCCCTAGTTATAAACAGCAAATGATGAATGATGAGGGGCTAGCCTACCCCGTTTGGTCTCCAGGGAATGAGCGGGTCACAAAATAGAATCTACGGAACAGAAACCATTGTGATGTTTATTTCCGATTCACTATGGATTCAAGGTTCTTTTGTGATGGATGGATCAGAGAGACCAGGCTGAGACAGCCAGGGCCAGGGCCAGCAAACACATTGCAAACCTAGAGGGAGGGGTGACTCAGAGCTTGCTCCAGTGGAAGACGCTAGGTCCGCCATCTCCCGCTTTGTCTTTTGCTTTCAGACACACACCAAGGTTTCCTCTTTCTCCTAGCAACAGAACTCTCAGGGGTCTGGAAGGTTCACCAGGATTTGCCTTTCAACATTTAAGGCTGGACTTCTTCATGCATTGGATAATAGGTCTTGGCACTCCATTCCCAGATCCACCACGGACTGTGTGACCTTGAGAAAATCACTTATGTTCCATGGACCTTCAGTGGGCGTCTATGACACAGGAAGGTTTTCTTTCAAGATTGATTGTAAAGGTCGGCCATTCACCATGCGAACGTCATGCACATGACGAAGTAGGTGTTGGAAGGCTTCACTATCATGCTCCAGTGTTCTAACGTGGGTTCTCTATACCAGAAAAGTTCAATTACCTACAAAATAGCATCACCCTGGGCTGTGGGTAGAGAAGATTCTGTTTATGAAGCTAAATTAGTATTAAAAAATCACTTTCCTTTAATGTAATAGATAATATTGAACTAGGATATATAGGCATAAACAAACCACTTTAAGTAAAAGTACATTCCTATTATACTTTGACCATTCCCCCAGTAAAGTATAATACAGTGGACCCTCTTACTATGGTTTCATCTTTTTTGAGCTTTCTGTTACTTATAGCTCAGAAACAGAAAAATGTAGAAACAAACACTAAAATTTAAGGTGTGGTTCTACTTCCCCTACATTTTTTTTTTCATTCTTTAATATAGGATGTCATATCGTCCAGGCTGCCCTCAAAGTTGCTGTATAGCCAAGGCTAGCATTGAATTTCTGTCCCTCCTTGCTCTCGTTTCCCAAGTGCTAGGACAACAGTACTGTTCTCTTCTACTCTTTGCATGCCAAGGCCACCATCCTTGGGTCCACGGGGAGCCGGGCACCTACCAGAAGCTACCAAAATCTCAGGCTGCAATGAGCTCTGCTTACTGCTCTGGGGTGACACTTTGAAAAGAACTGAAATAAGATTTCGTTCTTTAAATAATATGTTTTAATGATTTTTTAATGTGCATGAATATTTTGCCTACGTGTATAAACTCTGTACATGCCTTCTGGTGCTGGAGGCAGAAACGGGTACAGGACCCCTGAAAGTGGAGTGATGGACAGTTGTAAGCCACCCTGTGGGTGCTCAGAACTGAACCATAGACCTCTGCAAGAGCAGTGAGTAGTCTTCTATACAGCCATTTCTCCAGACCCTTAAATATGTTTTTAAGCATAAATAGTGAATGTTCTATCTACCTATTTCTGTGGAGAGTCTTGGTAGGAGCTCAGAGCATGGTGACCACACTCCCCTCGTTAAGAACATATTTCAGTTTTGGGACGTGTCCGTGATCACTGAGTCCTCTCCCCTTTTCCATGGCAGTGCTACAGTACACACTCAATAAAAGTTAAGGGAATAAGCAGTCAGTTTTAATGTTCCTCAGGGCTGAGAGAGGCCCCATGGTGGTTTCTTTTTCTGAGACAATGAGAAGAATGTTAAAGGCTGCCTCCAACATTTAACCTGCAAGTCCCTATCCTCCTTCCCCATCTCTACTGCCTTTGGCCCTTAGGTTCTTTCTCAGCTCCTGGACCTCTAGCCTAGACACCAGCTGGCTGCACCCCAGCCATCATGGTCAGCACAGGAAGCTGCACACAGAGGGCCCCTGCCTCTTAGATGAACTTCGAGCTGACCCTCCAGGTCCTCTGAGAAACCGCTTCTGAAAGGTTCTTAAAAGCAGTCACGGCTTCTGTGGAGAAAGCAACCCTGCTTAACCTGTCTTTCCTAAGGGGCTATACACAGGTGTTACACTAATTTCATCGTGGGCAATAATATAATGAAATGTCCACTACAGGGACACGGCAGAACTTTCAGTACACGCCACAGAAGTTTCATGCGCCCCTTTTCTCAATTAATGAGCTTCAGTTGAATAAGCAGTTGTGTGTGTGTGTGTGTGTGTGTGTGTGTGTGTGTGTGTGTGTATCTGGAAAGTTCCAAGAACCCGGGTCTTTTAATCAATATGCAGAGCACAGAGCAAGGCCCCTGGGCATGACTGATGATACACTGTGCCAAGCAAGAGCCAGCTTTGTTTTAACTCGCACTGTCTGGTACGGAGCCACAGGCACATGGGGTCCCTCCAGAGCAGCCCATTATCTGTCCTTGGAGAAATAACGAGAGGAAGCCCCGTTTCTGGCAGAGCCATTCAGGGAACCCTTGAGGAGCCCCCTCTCCATCCTCTCTCGGCTGAACAGTGTGTCCTGGTCGCTTTCAAACTCCGACTCTGACACCATCAGGCTGGAGTTGTGCTCCGTGCTCCGATGCTTGATACCTGGGGAAAAGCAGACAGAGCATGAAGACAGATGTTGGAAGAACCCTGCTGTTTAAGGTTGCAGCCTTTCCAGGCCAGATAGCCATTCTGAGCTTGGTGCTAAGGTGCAGGACTCCCTCTCCCCAGCAGGGCCTCCTGCTCTCTGCCTGACTTCATCTGGAGAGTCTCTTTAGACACAAATGCCCCTAACCACATTTGATATATGGCCTTTGGCACAGCTCCCTGCTAGCTCTCCCCTCCCTGTGCCTATAGGATAATTAGGTACTGTGTTTCCGTTCATATGATAGGACCCTGCTGCTTAATGCAAACCAAGCATCCTTGAAGTGCCTAGTTCCAGCCAATTATGTACACCTATGCCTGGAGGGCCCCCCCACTCCCCAAGGGGTATATAGCCTTTGTTCTCTGGAATTAAAGCTGAACCAGCTCCCTGAAGTGGTTCCTGGGTGTGTGATCCCTGAACAGTGCTCACTGGCCACTCCAGGCATGCTCCTCGTCTCGTGCCCCTCCTGACTTCATGGGCTGGTGGGAGAAAGCTCCCAGGCACGGAGAGAACCACACACACACACCACTTTCCTCTCAGCCATCTGTTTGGCCGTGTTCCAGGAAGGACTGTGGATTGCTCTCTGAGCCGTTAAAGCAGTTACCTATGTGGCAGTGGGTTGGCGTGACAGAGGCTCCAGCTTTGACACCAGCTTCGTGATCCTGGACAAGATACCTAGCCTCTTCTTATCTAGTGGAAGGTGACGAAGCTCCTACCCACAGGTCTCTGGTGAGGACTGAAAGAAACTGTGCCCTTCACCTAGCTTTTACAGCAAACGAGCCCTTAACACATAAGTACTGCTGTGACTCTGAAGTTTAACTGGCTTTACAATTTTCAAAAAGGACTTAGAGTGTTTAGCTAAAGAGTTAAAACATAGATCTGTGACATGATGGCTCAAAATATCTAAGAAATAAAACGAATACATACATAAATACATAAAACAATACATAAATCAGGAGGATATGAGGGGCTGGGTATGGTGGCACATGCCTTTAATCCCAGCACTGGGGAGGCAGAGGCAGGCAGATCTCCATGAGTTGGAGGCCAGTAAGGTTTATAAAGCAAGTCCATTCAACCAGGGCTCTGTTATATAGAAAAACCCATCTCAAAAAAAACATGAGGAGAGAGAGAGAGAGAGAGAGAAGAAGAAGAAGAAGAAGAAGAAGAAAGAAAGAAAGAAAGAAAGAAAGAAAGAAAGAAAGAAAGAAAGAAAGAAAGAAAGGAAGAGGAGGAAGAGGAGGAAAGGAAGAGGAAGAAGAAGAAGAAGAAGGAGGAGGAGGAGGAGGAGGAGGAGGAGGAGGAGGAGGAGGAGGAGGAGGAGGAGAAGAAGAAGAAGAAGAAGAAGAAGAAGAAGAAGAAGAAGAAGAAG